CAGCGACAACATTTTGCTGTTGTTGTTGTAACTTGTTGCTGCGGTCGATCGGCTGTTGCTGTTGCATGTTTCTGTTGCTGTTGCTGTTGTTGTTGCTGCTGCCGCTGCTGCTGCTGGTGTCATGTCGTCCATCAGCGTAACAATTTTTATTGCTTGCCGACCGCAACATTGTTGTCGATAAAATTTTAATTCGCATTGCAAACTTTATTTTGTATATTGTATTTCGTATACCCAGCCTTATGGCATTATCTCTCAAAAGTTACAAAAATGTAAATCTGTTAATATTGATACAAGTAACTCTTTTATGTAAAAGAGGGTTCTGTTGTATATGTATATATCCTCTTTTCTTTATATTTTCGATTCTATCTCATCTTTATCAGCTGCATTTATAAAGTAGTTTGGATCGACTTTCCATGCGCTCTCAGCTCGGTTATAGCGTACCAAAATGTCTTAAAAGTCGAACTCCCTTGGCCATGTATTTTTGCATGCCTTCGCTTTGGACAGCTCTTCCGCCAAATTGATTTATAGCGTTCGAACATGTAGCAGACTGCCCAAAAATAAAAAAGTAACAAAATATATGGGAAGCCGCATAAAATGAAGACAACCAAAGCATTTTTTTTTTTTTTCAGGAAGCACGTACCCCAATTATAAATGCAGCTAATTGCGCCAGCAAATGTTGCTGAAAGCGTTGCAAATTTTTAATAACACGGCAAATAAATGTTGCGCTAAATTGTCAACATTAAGTAACTGCAGCAGCAGCAGCAGATGCTGTGGCAGCAACACTTGACAACATGGCAACCACAGCATTATGAGCCAGCACGGCGGACAAAAAACCATTCAGAGATTCTATGAGCGCACATTTATCATGCGGCAGTACGGCGACATGTTGCATGCTGCAATTCCTGTTGGCTACCGTTTTCCAAGCAGCACGCTTTTGACCTGAGCCGGCGCAGTGCGCGTGCCACAGCCCACAACAGCAGCAGCAACAGCAACACCAACCAGCAACAACAACACCAACCACAAACTGCAAACAATGGCAACACGAATTGTAAGACAGCGTTGCCAAATGTTGAACTTGCAGCTTGATCTTTTGATCTTATCGCCTGGCCAGACCAGACCAGGACCAAGAGTGTGAACTGAACCTTTGCCTGCCCCATCCGCTCCTCGCTTCGCGATGATTAATTGAAATTTCACTTTTTTCGCGCTGCGCCTCTAAATTTTGCATTTATTTCGCTCGCACTTTAATTGATACCTTCCAAATGAAGCGCACGCCTCAAGAGCATGTTGCAAGTGCCATTTAGGGGCGCATTTGTTGTCGCTCTTAAGCGGCAATGCAACACGCCCCTTTCCTTATTCGCCGTTATGCCACACAACACAACAGCAGCAGCAACACAGCAAGCAATTAGCCGCTGGCCCAAAAATATGTTGCACCCTTTGGGTGCCTCCTAATGATTCACCATGTGCCACAGAATGCCAATTACACATGCTAATTGCGCCACAAAAGCCACTTGAGGCAGAAACTCAACTTTGCTTTGATTGCAAGTCTTTAGTGATTTTTCAACTCTGTCAAATCTGGGTTCATTAGCAAGGAATCATTAATTTTCAGCAAATGACTTTTGACGCACGTGTTATGACAGATGGATCTGAAGATGAATGTGTCGAAGATAAGCAGGTGGGAAATACAGCTAAAGATATATCCATATATACACATAATTATATATACTGGAAGAGTTACTAATTTGACAAAGACAAGATAGTCTTGCATATATTCAGACGGATATATAACTAATAAGTCACAATCGCATATGAGCTCAGCACTTAATGAGAGTTGTTTCACAAGCTGAATCCGTGAATGAAACACAGGTGAAAAGATGTTGTCCAATGTACAGAAATTGAGAAACAACCTTCAAAAGATTTATGCAACATGAAAGAGTTATCGTCTGAAATATTAAATAAATATATTATACTTACCCAATTGATTTCCATTTTGGGAAGATGTTTCTTCTACCAAAAGTTTACCAATATAAACTCTCTAAAATTAATTAATTCTGATCAAGATACGATTAAAAAATAATTACAACAACAATGGTAGTTAAGCTTCTTTAGCAACATCAACATAATAACATATTTCTATTCCACATTCTTTAACTCTCTTGTTCTCTCTCTTGCTTTCTTTCTAGATCAAATCTCTCGTTCTATTTGTGCTGTGACAGCTTGGCAACATTTGCCTCCGACCACATTCCAGTTGCTGTTGGTGGGGCAAACGCGAGCAACTCGATGATGTTGCCATGTCGCCCGCTGCTGCTGGCGTCGACGCGGCGACAAAAAACACGCTGCCAACTGATGCGGCGCACAGCAACGAGTTGCACGTGGATGTCAGCAAACAGAAGCAGCAGCAACAGCCGCAACAACAGCAACAGCAGCTTACAACGTGTGGCACGCAGAACCGCGTGGCAACAGCAACAGCAACAACAACAACAACAACGCTTCGTAGCAAGTTCGGCTTCTGTGTGCACTTCGTGAATGTGCTAGAGCTGAAGATGTTGCTGCTGCTGCTGCTGCTGCCGATGATAATGTTGCAGCTGGGAAATGTGGCCAGCAAAAAGGTTTTTGGGCGAATTGCATTGGGGCCAGCTTTCAGCTGTTTTGTTGCTTATCAGGCAGCGCTTTAGCGTCTTGTCATAAATTATGAGCAATGTTGTAGTTTGCCTTTGTGCAGCATGCACACCCACACACAGCAATACACACACCAACACACGCACTGAAAGCACTCACATCACATCACATCCCGATTTGGATTCACGCGTGGTCGCCTCTATAACTCATCCCTCATCCGAGTCACGCCGTCTGCGGTCGCCGACATGTTACGCTTGCCTGCTCGAGTTCAGCTAACAGCGGGTAGACTTAACTAAAACCGCCTTTCATTTCCTGCTACCCACTGCACTACCACCATCACTAGGACGCCCCACTTCACCCACCCAGCCAGCTGCATTGAAAATCATTTCGAAATGCAGCCACGCACGCAAAAAATGAGCTCGTTTGAAATCCAAACATTTTAGCAGCCTTCTAGCCGTCACATATTGGCCCCAACCACGCCCCCTCTCCCCTCTCTATCACTCCTTGCACCTATCCTGCCCATCTCGTAGAGTTCCTGCTATTTATTCATTGGTGCGTGTTGCCAAATGCCAAACATTTTTAGATGCGACTGCGAACGATGCTTGTAAATACTTTGGAGTTGTGCAAAAGTGGAAAAAGATTTGCTGTCGCAGCTGTTGAAGTTGCGTTGTTGTTGTTGTTGCTGCCAGTTGTTGCTGCTATTTGCCATTTGCCAGAGAATTCACAGTGCGCTTCTCAGACTTGACAACTCACAGAGTCGGCCACTTTGGCGGCAGCATGGCTCAGAGTGTGTGACACGAGCATTTTTAATGCACTTTTAATTAATTATTGGCGCTAAGCAAAAACTTGGCAGAGTGCTAAACTAGATGAACATGTGTCATCAAATGAATTGGCCACATTCAACATTAGTTTTCAGTTACAGCACAGCGTACTCAGTCAAGCAGACTATAATATGGGAATTTAAGATAGCGAGAGCTCACTTAAGGGTAAGCCGTAAATTGGATTATTTGGTTAAATCTGAATTGCTGAAATAAGAGCAAAAACTGACTCTACTTTTATTTTTATTCTTTTTTTAAGTTCTATTTAAGTGATCATGCATCAACTACAACTTTTCATTTTCGACGAATATAAAATACTACTCATAAAAACCTTTTGCAATATTTTGCGATGCAGTCCAGTTTCATTAGACCACCTCAACCCACTGTTAAGCAGCTCATATTTAGGTAGGTAAATTATCAATTAGAAGCTCTTAGGCTGGGACCAACAAGTGCTAAATAAAATTTATGAATCTGTCGTTTGATATCGTAAAAAAACTTGTTATCATTAGAGAAGATAAGGCGCGGTGGCTGACGTGGACTCTGATTGGCTGCTGTGGATGCTGGAATACCCAGTTTGCCATGCCATGGCTCGCTATGGGATCCTCACACACATATACTCACGGGCTCACACACAGCACAGACGAAGAGACTAACACACATACGAAACACCCGCGACCAACAATGAGCGACGGTATTACTTACGTTCCACAAACAATGTCCATGTGAATGGAAGGAAACTGGTTGTCAGTTGCACAGTGATTCAGCAGTAAATGAACTCAGCTGAAATCACACAAATATTAAATACGATTACTTTTAGTAATCTTGTAACCATCAATATAAAAAAAAAATTTTATATCCTATTTATACAAAAGAATATTAGAGTATAGATTGTATTAATAGTAAATGACAAGAGAACAATAATAAAACTTTTTATCATAAAAAGATAAAACTAAAAGTAATTCAAATGTTTCTTACATTATTATTTAAAAACAGAGATTGAACTAAAATAATTTAAAGGAGTATCATTATAATTGTAACAACATAAGTCATATTTATGATGAAATACCTTCAACTGCAACACTAAACCACAGTGCGACGTCGCTGTTGCTGTTGCTGCTGCCATAACAGCGAGCAGCCGAACAGCCGCTGCCTGTGTGACTGCCTGCCTCTGCCTGCCTCTGCCTGGCTGTGTGGCTGCTTGGCTGCTTGGCTGGCTGACTGCCTGGCCTATTGAAATTTATGTGGCCGCTTTTAGTCGTTTACGCTTAGCCAGCGGAAGCGAACGTCGCAATCGCAGTCGCAGTCGCATTTCGAAGAGTGGAAATCGGAGTCGGTTAAAGCCGTGTATTGAGTGTGTGCGTATGCAAGTGTATGGGTTCATCATCTTTGTTGTGATGTGCACAGATGTGCTTAGATCTGGCTGCAACTGCCAAGCCTGCGAAGTTTGTCTCGTAATGCATTGCAATTAAAAGTAAATCTAAGCAAGAGTGCAACAATTCAAAATAAATCGATATCTTTAAATAAAAAGATATCCAATTATATCGTTGAAAACATATCTGAAAACAAAGCCATAATTTACATTACGGCGGTCTGTCAAACTCTTGGCAAACCTGTTGCTGCAGCTGTTGACACTTTCGAAACGGATATAGCCGAGTTATAAAGCGCATTCCTATCTATAAGGTTGGTATATAATGCAGCAAAAGACATAACTAATTAATTAAAACATTTACTGTAATCATCTAATCGCGAGAGCTTGGCGAAACACCAAACAATTTAATTCAATGAAGCTGCCATGCAACTAACTAACTATGCAAATCTTGTTGAGGAAGTCAAGCAAAGAATGGCAAAAAATGAAAAAATAAATGAAAAGACTCTTTAGTGTGTGTTACACTTTGCTGCCTGAGTGCGGTCGAAAGAGAATAACAAGTTTTTAGTATTCGCTGGCGAAGCGTGAGAAAATTCACAGCGCATTAATTAGCAATGAAATCATTTTAAGTTAATCGACAATGCGGGTAGGCTAAGATACTTTATAATACTTCCCAGTCTTCCCAGCCTACCTGCTCCCTGATTCCTACCTAACTCAGGTGATTTTCGTGTGTATGCTTGTGGCCCCTGATTGGCATTGGATAGCAGAAAAATAAAAAACTAATTGCTTGAAAATTAAAAACGTGTCAGCTGACACGCTATTGGCTCCTTCTACAGCAACAACGACAGCAACAGCAAGAGCAGCAGCTGCAACAGTTGCAGCAACAGCTATCGCCGCTCTGTGACTCTGACAGCAGCAGACAAAATGTAATTGGAACTCGAATTGCTTTATAATTAGAAGCATTTGCATGCAAACTATTATTTTTCTGTATGCAAAATATTTAAATTAACAAGTTTCCTACTAAAAATAAGTTCAACATATTTTAGTCAGAATAACGATACTTAATTTAAGGCTTTCTCAAAAAGAGAGAAAAATACTTTCCTCAAAGTTTATCCAAAAATAGCCTGGACGATTTCGACTCAACTTTAGCATAAGAATGCTTAAAATATTATTTCCTCCCTGCATGCACTTCAATGTGAGCCAATGCCTTCTTATTTCTTCCAAACAAAATTGGAAATGTTCAGATATATACGAAGCAGAGGAGCATAAATTTTAGTTCAGCAATGCGTGTACCTCGACACAGCATGGGCTGCAGACGTTCAGAGCACCCAAAGCAATTCGTACAGGCTCATTAAGGTTTTAATTTACAAGTTTAAGCGGAGATTTAAGCGTTGCGATTTATACGCGTCGAACGAGGGGCAATTATCAATGGTAACAGCAATAGCAACAGCTTGGAGGGCTGCTAGCAGCAACAGTAACATGCGCCAATATCCACCTACGCAGTCCGAGAAACAATGCCGAGACTTTTAGGCCTGGCCATGAGCAACGACAACAACAACTACAACAAACATGGCAGCAACACCAACGATGATGACGCTGACGCTGACGACGACTAAGATTTGTGCAAATGGGCTGACGTTAATGCTTTTGCGACATGAGCAACATGTGAGCGATGGGGACAAGTGGAGGTGCTTAGGTAGTGCAGAGGTGTACGACAATAAAAAGGTAAATGCAACATTGATTAAACACACCTTGACAGGGCTCAATGATTGCCTCGGCATGTCTGTGTGGCCAACTGATTGCAGCTGCCGCTGACCTCAGACAACACCAGCAATACCAGCAGCAGCAGCGACAGTAGCAACAGCAACACTCTCTTTACACACCTGCAACAGCTGCCAATTACACATAGAACGCATAGGACGCACGTGCATGTGATTTGCGGAGACCAAAAAACCGTTCTAATTTCTCAACTGTCAGTGGCATAGAGGCCAATGCAACACACACTCACACACACACWTAAACACAGATGGTAACAAAAGGCCGCACCGAACTCGTTAGCTTTGCTGCTTTGGATGTTGCAATTATGTAGCGCGCGTTTACAAAAGAAGGTCGTCATCGTTGCTGCAGTTGCTCTTGCTGCGGCTCATGTCTTCATTTTGGGCTTTTTGCTACACATGTTGCTGTTGTGCGCCAGCAGCAACAGCAGCAACAATGCTTTTTATATGTTTGTGTTGCCAACACTTTTGGCCTTTGGCGTTCAAGCTAACCCCACCGCGTTTGTTCAGCTCATTGCCTTTATTAAGCGACGACCAAGCCAAGCCAAAGTTACTTGCTGAATGCACCAGCAGTATCAACAGCAGCAGCTCCAGCAGCAAGAGCGGCAATAGCAACAACAGCAGACTGTGGCTTGTGCGATTTTTTAATAGTTTTTTAGCTGCAAACAAGTTTTTCTCTTTTGCTGGCACCTTGAGCCCCTCTAGTGTTGACGTCCCTGCTAGTTTTTTTTTTTATAATTTGCACCACTTTAATTTTGCCTTTTTATTTGCAACACTTGTCGTTTAAATGCAGCAGCCGAGCAAAGTGTTGCCAATAAATTAAATGCAATGCAAACAAAAACAAAAAACAAATAAATAAATAGAAAACAAAATTAAGAATCATTTTTATATCAAAGAATACGAAACTTGAATACACTACTATGGAAAGATTTAGCTACGCTTTTTGTAGGTAGACATGAGATAATCTTGATAAAGCAAATAGAGGATTATGTTATAATAAATAAATATTAAAATGCAATGAATATTTAGATAAATACTAAGTTACACTTTGCATATGTATGTTATGAACGTCTTAGATAACTCTCAGAGTCTATAAAGAAATGCACTCTAGCTTTCTGTTAGGATATTTATATAAAGACAGGACCCTAGTGGAGCTTCGAGTCTTGCTTGCAAAATTATCTATGTGGCCGGCAGTTCTCAGTTCTCAGTTCGTTTTGTGGCACGACGCAATCGCAGCAAATGGCATTTTTATTGATATTTCGGTCGGTTCGGTTTGGCTGGCAGCTTTATGTTGAAATATGCGCCGCCACCTGTTGATTTTGTTTGCAGATTGGGCCTCAGGCCGGAGCCAGCCACTTGGGCTCTTGCAGGCTAAGGAGCTCGAATGGGGACCTCGTGATTTGCAGCACAAATTAAAAGCGAGGGCGATGCATATAAATAGCAATTTGGACAGACGAATTAAACCAAATGACTTCAACTACACAAACAGCGTTGTAAACTTGTCGTGTCACAGAAATGAGCTGAAGTTATGTCAACAGCGTGACTACGAGGGGTGCTTTAGTGTGTGTGTCCGTGTGTGTGTGTGTGTGTGTGGTATGTAGACACGAGTTGAACGTGAGACACTCATGCCAAGTAGAACATTTAAAAAAGTTTATTGGGGGCTAAAACTTCTCAAGTTTCCTTAATATTAGCTAATTCAATTTGTAAATATTATACAATTTAATATAAGCAAACATAGTTAGAAGAAATAATATAGGTATAATCAATTTCGTGTTCGTTCCTGGTTCTATTTTTCACATCATCAGTCTTCAAGTGATATCTTCATTAATTTCCAGCTGCTCCAATTCTAAGCCTCTATCTTTATATCTTTCTCAAACATTTGAACAGTTGTTAGGGTCATTCACAGAATGCCTCGATAAGCTGTTAATTAAACATAAAACTTAAGTCTCTTTCCGTGAAACTTTAACAACTCAATTGAATGCAGCCCTCCGATATATATTTTGTTGCATTCCATATCAACTTTATCGGACGTCAGCAGCCAATTAGGTGCTCCCTCGAGATAAGAGGAGCAACTGAATTTTGGAGGCACCCGTCGAGCATCCATACTTCCATCGTGAGCTATAGACTGGCACGTTGACAGACAGAAGGACAGATAGATAAGTCAAAGGCTGATAAGAAGCAAATTTGACAGACGTAAAACAAACTCACCTGACATCCAGGTAAAAAATATGTCAAAATGAGCACAGAAAATCGACGAATGTTGGGGAATTGAAAGAAGACAAAAACAGTCGCAGGTAGAAAGTAAAACCTGTTTAATTTGAACTTTTATTGTATTTCGTGCGTAATTAAAAGAGAACGAAAGAACGAAAGGCGAACTTGCAGATGTCGTTTGATGACTCGCAGCTACACATAAACTGATCCAAATAACATCCAATGAGCTTATTTATGAGCCAAATACATTTAAATATGAACACAATATTTAGGGAGGGGGTGGGACACGGCCTTAATGAAATGCTAACGATATGCATTAAGGAATTGAAAAAGAAACGTTTACAAAGTCAAACGGTTTTCACAACAGAGGACAATTATGTAAATGCTGGAAAATTGTTTTGGCCATTTGCACGGCTTTCCTAGCAATTTACCAAATCAATTTCAGCTCCCAAAAACACAGTCCAAGGGGAGGAGTAGGCGGCAGGCAATAGCCAGCAGGCAGCACCAGAGCATCAGAGGCAAAGCTTATAATAATAATTGAATACATTGACGCCCGCCGGCAATATTTGACGATTTTTGCAATTGAATTGAGCAACCTGCAGCAGAGGCAACAGCAGAGGCAGCAACTGCAACATCAGCAGCCACGGCGTCTGATTCTAAGGCAGATGCGGAGGCGTGTCGAACGAAAAATGGCCAAATGTAAATGGGCTACATAATCAAATGCTGTGTACCGCAGTCGCTGTTATTAGTGTGGTGGCTGCAGTTCTTGTTGTTGCCGTTGTTGCTTTTAATGTGAGACCATGAGTTGTTGCCTGTAGGGGGGGACTGAGCGTGGCAGAGCCTAGCCCAAAGGCATAGGCAACAAAAGAAGCCCATGAAAAATTGTGAGTAATTTCGGTTATTCGTGTTGATAAACGGTGCCAAAAATAAACGAAAAGGCGTAAGACCATCGCAGTCTTTGCACAGTACACCTCACAACCAATATTTGCTTATTTGAAATACTTTTCTACAAAAGCCTATCTCGATTAGAGTTCTGCCTCAGTCATTCTACCTACTCATTGAAGCAGAACTGAGGCAAACTGATATTCCAGTTCTCTTTTTTGTTACTCAGTCTTCAGTTTAATCAGCCCTACAATATGCTAACGAACCTGCCATACTTTGAATTCTCTGTCTTGAACGACGACCACACAGCAAAGTGATTATGGTTCCTCTTGCCTAACTGTCTCTCCCCTGTCTCTTCCCTCTCGCTCACCTCTCTCTGCCTCTATATATATATTCCTCTCTGCACTCGTCGTCAGCTTATTTATGCACATGCAACTGTAGCTCTTCATC